ATTATTACAACACTCCATTGATACAGAATCTCATTTTATCACACTATGGAGGAAAATAACCAGGTCAGGTAGAAAAACAGAGACTGCAGCCAAGCACCAGCTTATATCTGGCAGTAAGCTTGTAAGAGTTGAGCAACAGAGAGGGTAGCTCACAAAGTTTCCCTAACAACCTCTGAAAACAAACACAGTAAGCATCGTTTGCTGCAGCTGATGGAAGCAGCAAACTGGTTCCCTGTGCAATTGCATCCCTCACCAAACGGATGAGCCACCACAGCACCCTTTATGGCTGAGCGTGCTGCTGAATCGAGTACCTACAAGATGCACTGACATTACACGTCAAGCTTACGTGTTCTGCCATAACACACCCTTAGAAAAACTGGGTCCCTTATGACGATTCTGGGATCCTAAAAGGAATTAGGAATGAATGCTTTACAGTGTTTATACTGATGAACTGTAACTTCAGTTTTTAAGATACACAAGCAAAATGCAGACAGAATAGCAAGACGTAGAACTTTCGATGGCAAGGCACTGTTAGCTGACGCTTAGCTCTGCTTATAACAAACGCCAAAGCGCCTTCCATCTCATCCTGCACAGAGGAGGAAGAGAAGCACGCTCAAAGCATCCTCGGGTGCACTGCAGAGGTCCATGCACGCCCTCTGCTGCTGGCCTGAGCTCCCACTGGCAGATCCAGAGAGTGAAGGGAGCTGATCCACCCCCAGGGACCACCAAGAATTTAGAAGTGCTTTTAAACCCGCTGCTAATTAAAAGCAAAGTTTCGCTGGAATTTAGACAAGGATCTGCTATCAGCCATCTTTTGAAAGGATAACCCAGGTGCACGTGATGATGCACTGAGCATGCAATCTGCACCGTGGGTCAATTTATCTGCACGTGAACTGACAGCCCTCTATCGAACTAAGCCAAGTGTGCATCCAGGTTGAATGCAGCTGCCATCTGACACCCCCAGATAATGAACTGACTGTGTATTTACTCTCACTGCTGGGACGCACGTGGCAAAATAGAAAGGCTATTAATCGCTAAGGGAAAGCTTGTAGAAGCAAGGATGACAAATAAAGGGCTTTGTCTCCTTGTAATTGGGCTTCACTGGGTTTTGAACTTGACGGCCTCCGTTTTCTTTGCTGCCAAGATGACTTAATTCCTTACATCTTCTCAACTTAAAGGTAGTAACAGGGAAGGATACTTGCCAAACTGTTCTGGCCAAAACCTGACTCAGCCTCCTCAGAGAGAAGCACGGGGTCTGCAAAGGAACAAATCCCAAAACAATCTGTGAGACATCAGGAAAGAGGAACACACATCTCACTGGCATTGACAGAGCAGAAAGCAACCGCAGAACAGCGAGACCCTTGGATACAGAAAAATTACACAAGTCGTGTTTATGGGTTATAAAAGCCCTTTTATAAAGCCATTTTTAAACAAAACCAAAAAGTTTACAAAAGAAAATAAAAGATACAGAAGAATGAGTTGCTTAATATATTCCAAAAAGGAGAAAAAAATAAAAGAGGGGACACAATTCCAACATGCTGAACAATAAAGGGTTCTTTTTCCTCGTGGTTTTTTTTTTTAATACAAAATACAAGCGAAGGATACACATTTAAAACAGAGCTCAGGAGCAGGTATGCAGTCCTGGGAACCCTTCAATAAAAGCAAAGCAGGGTTTTGTTACTTTTTTAACTTTTCTTTCTTTGCAGGTACATACAGAGACTGGAATATGTCAAATTAAGTAGCACGAAAGACCATCACACAACTCTACCAATGAATGTTGCACCTATAAATTCACGAACATGGTCATGTTCACTTCAAACCCCTTTAAAAAAAAAAAAAAAAGAAAAAAAGAAAAAAAAAGTGTTGTTTTTATTTTAAATAAAGCATTACTGTTACATTCAAACAGAACTCCTAGTACCATGCTGTAGAGCTCAGTATTGTCAAGGTATTGCAAAAGTTGCCAACCCTATCGGGCCCAGCGATGGGAGCCACGTCTGCGCACACCCCAACCGTGGGGCAGCTGCCCCTTTTTTTCTGGCCACTCTTGACATTAAAAAAAATATATATATATATATTAAAAGGGATAAAGGAGGGTTAACTGCAAAGAGCCTGATTTTTAGAAAAGCTCAACATGGGACTGCAAATACTCGGAACAAGTATTTGTTGCATACCATACAACGATGCTTCGCTGAAAGCCAAAGGCCCAAGGCCCTACCTGGAGTCTCTTCCTTCTCTACCTTCAGAGCCATTATTCAGGGTTTGCTGTGACATGATGTTCATGGTTAAACAAAAGAAAGTCACGTAGCTCTTATTTACAAGTGTTTTGTTTTTTTGTTAACAATTGCTTCTGCAGGAAAAAAAAAAAAAACAAAAAAAAAGAAGGTAAAACTCACAAACCTTCAGAACACAAAGGGAAGAAAAGATGTCAGACGCTCCCATGCGCGCACTCACACTCGCGCACTCACACACCAAATACTTCAGGGGCTTTTACACACATTATTCTGGCTTCAGTTGATTGAGTATTTCTCCATCCCACCCGCTACCCCTCCCAAAATATATATATAAAAAACCCTTGCCCCAATATACAAAGCATATGCACAACGGTGTTTTGCAGTCACACTGAGCACGCTCAGACCGATGGACCCATTCGACTCACTGCAGCTGGAGGGGGCAGGCAGTTGTTTCCCATAGTGGTTGATGCAGAGTCAGCACGTAAGTGAGAACTTGACTTAGAAACGTTTTTGTTTTGTTTTTCATACAAAGAGTTCAATGAAAAGACATTCAGATGCCAGTCTGCCACTGACATGGGAAGTCTAAGATGAGGATATGCTCAATCTGGGGACTCCAAAGGACACTGCCACCTTTCGGAGCTCTCCTATTCCTCAGCATTTTGATCACAACAGCTTCGTCGCCCAGTTCCACGCACATCATTTGTATTTAAACCTCCCCAAACTATAGGAAAATAGTCAAAGCTCAGGGAAAATTCTCTATTTGATCATATACATATAGAATATAGAATTTCCACATATAGATGGGACCCCCCCCCCCCCCCCCCAAACTTAACGCATCCTATATGCCAGCAACCATCTTGTGACAGTGTCCCTTTACACAGCTATCTGCTTGCATTTTTCATATCCTGCCTCCCCCAACAGATGAATTTCCACTTCTCAAATACTTAAACTCATGGATCAGTTTGTGGTTTTCAAGAACCATGTGTTCAACAATATGATCTGTTATAAAAATAAACACTTCACAAACAAATTACATAAAGCAAAGCACCAGTTTCTACAGCTCAAAAGCTTCCAGCATGTTACAGTTTGCTTCCCTCCCTCCTTAACCTGGGTGCCTCAGTGTCTGTTGTACCTTTGTGACCATCAACAGCGGAGGGGGAAAAAAAAAGAACAAAAAAAAAAGAAAAAGAAAAAGAAATTCAAGTACATTTTCTGCCGCTGCCCTGATAGTTCATCACCTGCAGATGCAGCTGTGTGGTGGCACAGGAGCTGAGCACGTGCAGAGCCATTAGTGGCTTTCAGGTAAGGTGTGCTCTGCTTTTCCCTCCCCATGCACTCCTTTGCTTTGCTGAAGTTAACACAACAGAACTACAAGTTTCTTGGCTGCCATATTTCTAAGTGCTCTCACCCACAAGCCATTCTGAAACTCATCTAACTTGACACGTTTGGTGCTCTCTTGCTGATCAAATACAAACCGGAACAAGTAATCTTTAGGATGAAATTCCAACCACAATTGCAAATCTTTACTGATCAAGCCTGGTGGCCAGTTAAAGACAGCATTCTTTGCATACAAATGTAAAACAGAATGTACAGAGGGATGCAGAATAGAATTTATAACAAACCTTTAAGTGTGAGACCAGGGCAGGGCACCAGATTGACTGAACTTTGGAATAAACCTGTTTACCTCTCTGCAAACGCTCCACAACCACAGCTGTTTAACAGAAGACAATCTTTTCAAAGCTTTCTTCTGTGAATGAAGCTTTCTGCTCCTTGGAGGGCTATTCATGGCTCTAGAGAAAGGCTTTTTTTTTTTAAACAGCTTTTCCTTCCAGAATGCTTAAAATACAAATTAATTTAGAAGGACGTTTTAAAACTTAACTCTGCTGCAATTGAAAAGCGCGTCCTAGAAAGAAAAGTTATGTATTAACCTTCACCATTTTCTTCAATCTGTAAAAATGTAAACTGTGGTATTTCTAACAGGTGACCAAGAGACCATTGGGGCGTAGTGTCTGCACAAACCAGCACAACAGTAAGGCTATAGGAAACGTTACAAAATCCCAGTAGTAGCACAGGATTTACATAGTGTTTGGGTTGTGGCACAAACTCAAAGATAGCATCATGCAGCCTGTGACAGCCATGGGAGATGAGCATACGAGAAAACAGAACAGCTTTACAAGAGAAAGGGCCAAAATCACCAGGCATAAAATAATCTGCAGTCCAAAACCTGAACTGAAAACAACGGAAATGCATCTTTCACTTAACTTAACCGTGTTAGCAAAACTAAAAAAGAACAACACAAATATTTATCTTAAGTGGAACTTACAAAATACACTCTTAAGAAATAAATCTGGTCTAGCAGGTAAAGAAATAGCTGTGTGATTAGATCAACTAGAGGGACTCTACATTTATGTGATCCTTGTATGCTTTAATACCAAAAAATAAATCAAGACCCTAAAGAGATTAGAATTACTTGAAACACAGTCTTGACTGAAAGGGGAAAAACTACGTGGGCCAGACACTAAGGAAAGTATACAATACCCCCAAAATATCAGTCCAAGCATTATCTGAAGTTTGGCCGTTTATTTTCCTGTGTTACCCAAGAAATGCTGAGCTAAGAGGGCAGGGGATGCAAGAGGCTCTGTCCTCCCAGAAGATGGGAAAAGTTGGTGAGGAGGAAAGGGGAGCACGTTCACTTCTTTTCAAAGACTGATACTTGACTCCAGCCTTAAGCTGTTCTGCAAAACTAAACCAGGTAAAAAAAAAAAAAGATTTACAATGGAAACACTGATCATCTTTATTGTAACGGCAACAGTAGTTTCATTATAGTAAAGAACGTTAGAGAACTTCAAATTTTAAGCCAAGGTAAAGTAATTTACCAGCCTCAATAAAACCCATGGCTGTGAATCACACAAGACAAGCACTTGGCTGTTAAATTAATGTTCCATTCTGTGGTTTAGGCTCCACACTGGGCTCAGAATCTTCGGGCTCCCTCTGCCATTCAGCCAAGTGTCCTTCCTGGTCATATTAGTGTATCGCATCTAAAAGCTCTCTGAAGTCCAAACAGGATTAAAAATCTGGTAGCACGTGCACCAGAAATCCGACTAGTTAGCTGCCTTATGTTACCTTCAAGAGGCTGGTTACAAAATATGTACTTCAGTGACAAAAAAAAAAAGGAGATGCAAAGCTTGTCAGCTGTAAGGTAACTGTGAGCAACGTACAAAAGCACAAAGGGTCTAAGGAAAAAAAAGAAAGAAAAAGGCAGATCCAGTTTTTAATATTTCCACCAACAAACATGGCAGCAATCTCTGCATCAGGGTTTGAAAACCAAGGCTTGTGTACTTCAATTAAGTTTAAAAAAAAAAAGGATATGGCTGCTTTGATAAAAACACATTAAAATGCCACTACACACACCTCAAGTATCTCCTTTAGAGGGACATCCTGCTTTTGTTATAGAACCATAGCCCTGCTACACTGCTTTCAAGCTTCATTCCCTCTCAGCTTCATCCTTTAACACTGTTCCCTACTCCAGGCTTCCTAGGCTTAGGGAACAGAATGACGACCAACAGAGGCAGACATGTCAGCGTGGGAGCAGAGTGAATAAATCCTCCCATGCTGCAGTAGGGAGGATGAAGAAATGGAAGTGGTACTGGGGTGATGTTCACTATTGATGGAAGTCTGCTGTCCAACATTGTAGCTGGAGAGGCTTAGACATGATTACACAGCCTTCTGAGGACAGATGGAGGGAGAGAAGAGAAGCACTTAAGCGTGACTCATGGGATCCGAGACTGACCAGAGCATTACAGGAATCCTTTGCTTCACATTTATAAAAGGACATCCCTCACCCAAAAGACACACACAAAAAAAATCTACTTCTAGAATGTCCACCATTTTTTTTTTTCCCTTGGAACTTTAAAGAAAGTGTCCACAATGTCAACTGGAAAGCAGAGCTTTAGAACTTTTCAAATGTCTCTTCCCTATTCTGCCCATCTATAGCCGACCTTGGAAGAAGTCAAACAGAATTAGTGGATGTGAGCAGCTTCTAGGTTGTGTGTCTGAAATAGCATAGAATGAACCGAGATCTGCCTAAGCAGAAGAGTATTCTATCCAGGAAAGATGAAAGATCTTGCATCCTAACTGGAGGATGTTTCCAGATAAAAGACAGTGGACCCCCTATCAGTCTCTTGATTGCTTTCCATTAAAAAGTTGCATGAATCCAAGAAACACAGGCTTCCTCCCCGTGTTTCCTCTTCTGCAGTTTATACATATATTTTTCTTTTTCTGAGAGAAGGAACTTCTATTGAGAAAAGTCTATTAAAGCATGGTTGGTTTGTTGATTTGTTTTTTTAACCATGTATTCTAATACAGAATTATAGTTTTGAACAACTCTTACCAGCACTGGGAAACCTATTCTACTCAGTGATTTGTAAGTGTGGTTTCCATGTATCAGTCCCAAACCTTATTGCTTCACAACTGCAGTATCCCTTGGAAAAAAAATATATATATTCAAATGGTCTGTTAATTTGTCTCAAATGGCTTTTGGATTTGGAGGGGGAGGGAGAATGGAATGGCCAACACAGAACAGTGACTTCAAAATATTACTGTATGAGGGTTTCCTCTTATTAAAAAAAGGATACACTGTATTAAACAGCTGAAAGTAAAGACAGCATTCAAAGCCCATGAGTCAAGCCACAGCCAAAACCGTGTTCTACCCCTAAGTATGTTTTCTTTTTCCTTTTTTCTCTCTCTCTCTTTTTTTTTTCTTTTTTTTTTTTTCTTTTTTTTTTTTAAACAAAGATATCCTCAACTGCCATTTAATCTTCACCAGAGGGTGCTTCCTCTTCAGATCCCTCATCCCCTGACTTCTCTGGCGGAGGGCTGGCTGATTTTTTCTTTTCTGGAGGACTTTCAGGCTCTTCATCCTCTTCTTTGGGGGATGGGGTCTTTTCTTTCGTTGTCTTGGAAGCTGTGGGGCGGCCTGCCTTCCCTTTGCCTTTCACTGGACTGGGAGTCACTGGAAAAAGAAAAAGCTTACACAAGTTATTATCTGCCACCAAAACAAGAAAGTGACAAGCCTTTGTACAAACAGGATTTAAAGACACTGCAGTAGCAGGTCTCATTTTGCTCTGACCATGGCGTTACATTCATTCCACAGTACTGAAGTTGAACTGAATGAGGACTGCCAGCTCCTCCACCCTTAATGACCAAGAATCCCAAACAAAGCCACAAATTACATTAATTGGTCATGAGATGCAGAATGTCAGACTGCAACATACCAGCAGATGTTCACAATCAACACAGGTTTTGTCAGCCATACATAAATACTAATTCAATCTCTTAATTAAGTAAGAATTCAAGACATCATCATTTCACTGTGTTACTTTAAATCACAATAAGTGACTGCTTAAAAGAAACAGCCCTTCAACATAATAAAGTAATGCCTACTGGCCCCAAAACTTTTGTTCAGTCTTCAATAAATAAGTACTAAAAAACTAAGTACTGGTCTCTAAATTAAATTGCACAGTTCTGCACAGACTCACCTGTAGCCTTTAGCCTGGGCTTTGGCATCTTCTTTTCTTTCCTCTCTGGCTTGGACTTCTTGGAGGCCTTTTTATTTTTCTTTTTTGAACTGCCATAGTCACTATCATCATCATCTTCCATGAGAAAATCCTCATCGCTTCCTGAATCTTTTGAAACAACAACAAAATTAAATTCTTGAAGACAAGGAGAAGAAGCAAAAAAACAAAAACACCCAACAAGTTAAAAACAGAGAAGTCAGAAAACTAAAGATGCTGTGACCTTATGAGCTTCCAGCTGCCTGCTGTCCTAGGGAAACGTGGCAGAAGATTTCACAGTAGTAGGGATAAAATATGACAGAACAGGGGGCCTTTTTCAGAACCTTGAAATATGATCCATCCTAAGGAATCCATTAAGAAATGCATTTGTGATGATAACCTTACTCCCTTCTGAAATCACATCTGCATCCACTATTTCAAAAATCTTACTGTGGTTCATCACTGGTTGAATTCATCTCCCCTTGTGAAACTAACTGTCCTAACTTTGATCAATCAAGGATAAAGTATTTTTCCCATCAGCTGAAAAGCAGCAGCAATGCCTCGAAACTGATGGAGGTAACAAGCAGCAGCAAGAAACATTAAGAAAATTTCAGTGCTCCTCAAGTGCTGCTTATAAAGAATTCCTTAGAATTCCTGCAAACTTAGAACAAAATTTTTAAATGTCAAAAATTGACAGTCTGACAGACAGGTACTCATTAATGAGTAAGCACCAAAAAGAATAACTTACATCTTTATTGTCAAGTCAAAAAGGAAACTGCTCCTTCTTCTATTCAGCCAGACCCATCAGCCTACATCTAGTACTGCTGCCCATATGACCAGGGCTTAAACTTTTTATGGCTGTCAGTACAATCCCATCTACTCACTCTCTTGGAACTGTGCCTCATCGTCCTCTTGTTCTTCCTCCTCACTACCCACATCATCCATAAGCATCTCTCGTTGTTTGGAAGCTGCTTTGGATGCTGCCTGTCTCTGCTGACGCACGTTTTTGTGGTCTTCTTTCTCATCCTCACTGTCCTCTGCAGCACAAAGTCATCGTGTTATAATGAAGACAGAAAATACTGGCCAGCACATCTTCATCAGCCAGTGAGTGGACAGACAAAAGTCCACTTTATAGAACAGTGTAAGGAGTAAATGCATACACAGCACAGAACTACTGCAATGCAATAGGAACGAATACATCAATATTCATACTTGCTGAACAAGAAAATTAGAATTATTATTGCAATTGTTTCTTTACCTGCAGGCCTTTTCCTGGATTTAGAGGCTCTCTTATTCTTATCTGGTTTGGCCTTCTTTCCTTTTTTGCTTTTTTGAGAGCTCTCATAGTCACTGTCAGCTTTGCCATCATCTGCTCCTAAGTCATCATCTTCACTGCCAAAATCTTCATCTGGAAGGAAAAAGGGAGAATATTAAGCTTCCTCTGTGATCGTGGAACAGAGGAGAATCCGAGGGAGGAGACAAGCATCCACCTCTCTACCTGTGAGGACAATCTACAGCAGCATCACATCACACAAAATCTGCTGCCCCCAACCAGGGCTGGAAGTAACAAGCAGCAGAGGCAGCATCCAGCTTAAGATAAACGTGTCAGGAAAGTGCATGCTTCTCTAAACAGAAGAACTTCTCCTGTGTGACAGATCTCACTCCTGGAACATTCTTACAGATTGGCCTTTATTTGGAAGGTAATTATCAGTGCAGCATGGTTAGTTACCTGCTGAGTGCGAATCATCTTTCTTAGTCTTCACATCTTTTTCCTCTGAATCCTCACTGAAAAGGAGGGAAAGATTGCTTAACTCCTATTTCACTCATTTGCTATATGGAAAATAACAATTTTCAGAGAGCAGATTGATTTCTAGGCCAAGAATACCCACTTTTCCTGAACATTACATTATACTTTAGCATTACTCAGTAGCACATGTAGTTATGGTTGGAAAGAAAGTTCAAGCTCTGTACCACGTAGTGCCAAGGAAACCAACCAGGAAATAAGGGTAAGGTAACCATGCATTTTTCTCCAGAGACTACTAATAATCCAGATGTCTTCCATCTTACAGTTAGGATTTTGAAGTTATATGTGCTAATACAAGGTCAAATCTATTAAAAGGAATATAGTTTTATCCTGACTATATGTATAATGAAGTCCCTTCTCTTTTTCTCATTGTTTTCTTTGGAAACCTTCACTCTGTCTCACCAGCTCACTACAACACATTTGGTCTGCAGGCTCCCAATCTGATCTCTGACAGACTTTCACCTCCCCTTACAGTGGTTTCAGTCCTCATTAGAGCCTGTCCCATCAAATAGGTACTACTGCTTCTGCACCCAAATCCCTACCACTTGTCACCTTGACTGTCCAGGTTTGGCAGTAGGAGCTAACACAGCATTGCTCAAGAACTTCCACAGTTCAGATAACATGTTACCCTGCAGTCCCTCAGGCCCATTTGATTTCAGCCTGATGGACAACTGTGGATTTGAAAGCAATACGTGCATTTGTTTCACATCCAGACTCTGTGCAATGCTTGTAACACAAACAGAAGTGTTCTTACATACTTAAATATCACTTTAGTTAATAGGACACCGTGGTCAACACTATTTAGTTGCTCTGGGAGCTCCCTAGCCCAGTTTCTTTATATAACATCTTATCTACCTCAAATCTTTATTTCAGGTGTTATCTAGAAGTTTGACCTCGAGAATTTCTTTAAGCATTGCACGAGCAGAACAAACACACTGGCCTAAGCAAACTGCAGCAACCTGCCAAGCAACAGATGAACTACACTGGGCCACAGTTAATGTAGTTAGATACCTGAAGTATTTGAATAACATCACTTCTGCATTAAATGTTTACCCATCGTTCGTGTCAAAACAGTGCAACAGCAGGAAATGATTGCTTGGCTTTTCTTTCCTGAAACCATTTCAAGACGTGAAAACATGAAGTTCACATCTTTGGGAAAATTAAAAGCCATGGTCAAAATGGCCTCACCCTCTCAGTTTATAACAGTAAGTAAAAATGTTCCCTCATGCCTACATTCAGCTTCCACCTTATAGCACAGGAACATGAAGGGAGAGAGAGATGGAGAGAAACATCTGTAGCATACCTTGTGGTAAGTTAGCTATATTCCACCAAACAATGCAAGACAGTTAAGAGATAACCAGCTGGCAGAATCTCCGTCCCTGAAAGCAGTCAATTCATTTAATAGGTCTCTTTTCATCATGTTTCTTACAGCAACCATTTGCTGATCACAGCTATTGTCAATGCAAGATACCCTCACTCTACAAGAAGGACTTCCACTGTTAGCAGGGAATCATTCAGAATGCAGACATTTCACATCGCCACAGCAATTCAGTTACCAGAACAAGTTACTCAGTTTCTGAATTAGACAAAATAAGAAGTGAAAAAAAAACAAAGAGCTGCAAAACTGACCAGTGGCCCCTACCACTGCAGTCACTGTACCTGCCCTATTTAATCTTCAACCACATAAATGCTCTGAGCACACCAAAAAAACACAGAGAACGAAAGGCACCCAGCCACCAACTTACCTGGAGATAATTGCACCAGTTGCCAATCTTTGTAACTCGTATCAAGTTCCTTGCCATTCCAACTGGATAGCTCTGGAAGGCTATTTTAATGCCAAAGTGCTAGTGACAAGTACTTTACACATGATTTCCCTGCCAACTTCAATAAAAAAGAATCACCTCAATGTCCAAGCTGGTTAGGAGAGCTTTGTGATTGAGAGCTCTGTGTCCTACACTGCACGTTTTGGTTTCCACTTACAATCATTGCTCTCAGAAGATACAGCTCCCCACACACAGGACAAGGTTTGGAGACACGTTCTTAACAGATGAAGAGCTTCTTTTACCTGTCTTCCTGAGAATTCTTCCCGGATCTCCTCTTATTTTTAGCCTCGCGGGGAGATGAGCGGATTTTCTTGGATGGGGGACCTGAATCTCTCCCATAATCTTCATCTAGATGGGACAAAATGGTTTTGAATCAAACTCCTCCTTCCCAGCAAAACGACCTCCTCAGCCAGCTGAAACTGACCATTCCAAGCACACAAAAAGTAGCTCTTAAAGAAGATAAAACCTCAAAGTTACAAAGAAAGCTTTACAGAAGTGAAGTCCTGCCTTCCGCTGCTGATTTACCTTTTCTTCTGCCAACAGCACCATAACAGCACTGCACACAACCAAATCTGAAACAGAAGTGTTGGGAAACACACAAAATGCTTCAGAAGAAAAAGGGGCATCTTAACTTCACAGCTCATTAGGAACACAAACCATCATGGAAACCTATTAGAGGTTAACATCCATTCATATATTTGTATGCTTTTAACAGCAACTTTATTTACTGCCCTATGATGGAAACAAGGCATTACACAATACCTTATACAATACAACAGGGCATATTTGTTTCCAATAATTATCAGTGTAACCACCCTTAGGAAACAGTAGCAGTGCATCTATTTTCTAAGAACACAAAACATATTCCATATGGCAGCCAGAAATATTTCATCAATTCTGACAGAATATGCTAAGATTCTTTATTATTTTTTTTTTTTTAGGTGCAATTCACAACTATGCCCAACATGATGGGATTAACTGAAGCCCACTAAAATAAATTGAAAACACATTTAACTATAGGAAAAAAAAAAAAAGCAGCACCAGGGTTGTTGGTTTTTTTTTGCCACAGAACATAACAGAGCAGGGAAGATGGTTGCTGCCAACAGCCTGAAGGCACTACAACAATACAAGCGTTAAATAACAAGATTTCTATCACCATTGTTTGTTTAATACAAAACATATGAGAACCATTATATTTTCAAATGCTCATTAACAGTTCAGAGGCTGCAGAGTAGAAACTCCCCAGAATTTAGGTTAAAGATGTGACTGGAAGCAACGTAATTAATATGCAAAGCCTTAAATGAACCCCTGTAGCCCAAGGATATGATGTTGTTAAGAACAAAGTCATTTACCAGCATCATCTGATTCCTGAAACTGGGAGTAATCGACCACCTTCCTGTTCCTGTTAGAAAGGAGGAGGGGGAAAAATAAGTAGCAGTTCAGCAATCTGAGAGACACAAAAGCTTTAAGTGACAAGAAAGTGCCACGCTCTTATTCCCAGCACAGGGTTTGTAGACCAACAAACATCCCGAGAGGTCCTGCACAAATAAGCCACCTAGGGCTTGGTGGTCCCAGCAGAAAACATGACATGTTTGAGCAATTTCCTAAGGCTGAATTCTAGCCTCAGAATTCCAAGGTGCTTCTTGATAAGCTGCGCTCCCATGGCTGCTGTGACAAGAAGCCACCAAACGCCGTGTGCTGCAGCTCTTTCATTAGTCAATCTACACACATCATTACAGCCACAGTTGTAAAAGCACCGTTTAAAGGCAGAGTCCACATCCAAAGATGAAAGATGCATTTGAAGAACGCATCGATCTGAGGTTTCTTAAGGCAGAGCTCCCACTAACTCTGCTTCAAAGCTGTGATGTTTCAGATTCTGGATTAAGAACAAAAAAACAAATGCAAGTAAAGGAATGCTGACAACTTTATTAAATAGTTGTTGGATATCAGAAGTGCCTCGTAGCAAGGCAGCATTGCTGAAATAAACCAAGTGTTCGACAGGTGCCAGTGCACAGGTGAGGCAGCATTAAACACCATTTGTAACACAACACTGCACACAAAGCCTCCCTGCTTTTTATTCCAGTGCTACAGTTGTGGGTTTTCTGCAGTCAATGAAATCTGAGCAAAGTTACTGGAATGCTTTTCAGAATGACTTGAAAAGGAAAGGGTTTATGCCTCCTTGTCACATGGAAAGCGAACTAAAAAAAAAAAGATCACTTAATTATTTGCATTTTTTACCCTTGAAGAAAAATCTTGACATTATACTTCTCGAAATGGTTTAAACCATTCATTTCTGTCAATTAACTCTCACAATTGATTAAATAATGCTTTGGGGAAAGCGCACTAAAATCTTCTCAAAGCTCCTAATAGCACAAATTACCTGTTTCCGAGCTGCTCTTTTTCAGATTCCAGCTCCTCACAGCTCAATATAACCACACTTGCTCTCATACTTTCTCCTTGAGCTGCTCCTGTTCCCACGTGTTCTCTAACACCTGCAGCTCAATGCTGCCTTTTGGCTGCCCTGTCAATCAGTTACTCTGATGCTCTAATTAATATGTATGACAGCCCTAACAACGGTTAAAGCTGTTCCCAAACGGAACATTAGCAAAGGCCCTGCATGCATTTTACCCCACCTGCATTTCTGAGCAGCACCTGAGCACAGACCAATTCCATCCTTACTTCATCAGCACCTTCCCTGCTCTCTCACCAGCTGTGAGTCGTGCAGTACTGAGTGTCCTTAACACAGCAACCATAACAGCCCAGGACAGACAGAATTGGGCAACTGCAGAAGCAGAGGCCACCAATGCCTCCATCACAGACCTGAGGACCCTCCAGCATATGAAGCACCTGCCTTCACCCTGCCCTCCTGAGCTGCAAGGACTGCTGGATTTCACGTTCACTTCCCAGAACTGAACTGCATTTTGGTCAGTGTCACACATGGTTGATAAAACTGCCCCCTTGAACGTCCCAGGAGCCAGCGCTGCGTTCTGGTTGTCAATCTGACACCCATTCTAAGCCTTCCTCCTGTCCAAGTACCTCTATTTGTGACCTACAGCAGAGCAGCAGCCTTCCAACAGAGGAAGCAGCATAATTACTTTATTTCAAGCCTACACAAAGCCTCTTAAAGCTCCAACAACAATAAAAACCAAACCAACACAGCCAACAAAAGAAAGCAAGACTAGTCATCAGATTTCTACAGGTTGAATCCCATCCAAGCTTCGGGGTAAACGTGAGTACAAAGCACAACTGCAATGCCTGCAGAGCACAGCCAGCCCTAACAGCACCATGCCCACTCAGGAATACTATACCAGCAAGGTCTGCACCACACAACTCAACCTCCTGGTCCAAGAGGAGGTCAGATCATAGGATCACAGAATGGCCTTGCTTGAAAAGGACCACAGCATTCATCTCGTCCTCACGGAGACTCCTGCCCACGCATGGGAAGCCAAGTTTATTCTGGTAAGCATGTGAAGAGCGATGAAGTTGCCAAGTGAGCTGTTTGATTTGCTTTAAGTTTGAGGTATTATGCTTTTCTCAATAAGCATAAACAGGGAAAAGGAGGTAGTGCTGCTGGATATTCAGTTCTAGCAGCTTTGTAATACAGGGGCTTCAAACATCACTTAACTGACAAGCAAGATGGAAATTGCAATCGTGCCACCTTGCAGTGAGTTGGTCACACACAGCTCACCTTGCTTAGTTCAGTTCAGGCCCACATTGAATCACATCTTTAATAGAAAACAACAACAAGCAAAAGGATATAAATGGTCAATGTCCTTTCTCTACATACTGCACAGGACGTGTTTTTAGTCAGAAAGTACATTCTGCTATTTTCTCATTATCTGCCCTGCAGGACTAGGGATATTTGGAATCATTAAGAAATCACTATGGCAGAAGCAAACAAGAACAAAACAGCATCTGTACTGATATTGCCTGAACTTGAAAGACGACCCAGCAGAACCAAAAGAAGCTCACGAGCAGAAACAAAACCAACTGCTCTCCCATTTGCCATTCTTCTCACTCCACACTCATCACTCACCTCCCTTTTATCCTCATATTCTTCTTCAGAACCACCAGCAGTAACTGCATGTTTGCAAAGACTGCATCTTCCACTGCACTGATGTGATAAAGTCAGGGAACTTCATTGGAGATGAGATCCAGGGAAAGCAAACAACGCAAACCCACCAAATTGCAAGCAAACATACAAAAAACACACTGTTAAACTCAGACTGAGCATAAAAAGACAGACCAAAAGACATCTGGGACAGATGTTGTTCAATCTGGTTTAAAACAGACCATGAAATTGTAAGATAACTTCTTTGCTCTTACAGCTTAATATTAAAGTGTACATATGAGAGCGAGCTGGGGGAGGAAAGGCACAGAGAAAGCCCTGAGAGCTGAAGTTTCTCGTGGCAGCTGTCAGTTCTGCATTTCTGGAATGAAGATCAACCCAGAAGCACAATGGCACATGGCATTAAAAGCTCTCCAGTGATTTCATAAGAACTCAGAACTGCACAGCAGAGTTCTGACAACTCGTACTTGAAGCGTATCAGAATCCAGTTCCAACATGATGGAAAACAACATCAGTATTTAAAAGGATCACTGAACACCCACACGACTGAACACAGGCTGTGTAACAGCATCGCATCTCCAGCTAACACTGCCCTCCAACAGCAGCACTCTGAAGTTGCCTTGTCAGCACACAAAATAATGAGGAGTCAAAATACTTCTGGTCCTCTAAGGAGATGTTTAAATCCTTCTGTATTTCCACAGGCACTACAGATAAAGTCCAAGATTAAAAAAATATATACATTGCCACTGGAAAGCACAGCTAAGAGTCTTTAGAAAGAAGACTCATAGCTGCCTCATCTTGCAAGGAAGAGGAACGTTTAGGTCAAGCAATTATCTGCAGAAATAACAGCCTACTTTCTTATACAACTTGAGAAGTAAAATGAATAAGAGGTGAAGCGGTTGCTGATGGCTTTGTTTTAAATTATGGCATGGAATTAAATAAACTTCCAACAAAGCTTCTGTGAAGAGGCACAGCCTGCCTTCACCCCCCATGCCTGGCACACGCAGGGTCAGTTTCAACTGCAGGTTCTCATTGCAGTGGGCAGAGCTGCCCTGCTTGGATGGCAACGTGTCAGCAGTAAATACTGTCCCCAACAGCACCACTTCTGTGCCTTCTTACAGAGACACGAGAGATGGGTAGGAAATATTCTTAGGGGCACAGCTGTACTGAGGCAAGGCTCACTGACCAGAGGGTCCCAATTAAAGGGGTCATTATTTGGGTCTGGGCTTGATGCAACTCCAAACATCAGGAAGACTGGGCACAGCTGATGGCATCTGCAGGATTTTTAGGGATACACAACCTGAAACCCAACAAAACAATGAAATGGTTGATGAGGCTGCAGTTTTATCAGCCTTGTGCCCGCCCTCCTTTTGATATAAATGAGAAGATGCTATAATGCAATATAGAAACATTCTAAAAGCAAACAAAAAAACACAAGATAGCAGAAGCCTGTTCTGCAACAAACACTGCAGAGTAAAAATCAAGTTATCAGGAATGCTACCTTGCTTCTTGTTTCTCACCACACCACAAGTCTTCAGAGCAACTGACTTGTCTTTCTACCTATCCAGAAGCTATCTTGCTCATCTCTGGACACTGCCACGCAGATTACTCAAAGTAATTGCCACTGCCCAAGGCATTTTCTGCTCTCCCATGCAAGTTATCCAGAATCCCTTCCACTTCACACTGTTCAGGTGCAGTGCTAGCAACAAGACAACTGATATCTAATAAATGCTTTTTTTTTTCCTTCCTGCAACACTGTTGCCAACACAGGACTGGAAGTTGCTAATGAAGAAGAGCTAAGTATGCAAAGCCATAAAGCCTTGAGACACCGACAGAGATCTATTTGTAACTGCCTTGAATCTCCAAACAAATCAACCAATCACACTGGGATTTCGGTGCTTGCCCAGACCTTTCCATCTTGCAATGCCTGCAGGAATGAAGCAGCAGCAAGTGAAAGTGACCACTGTGCAGCAGAACGTGGGAGCTGATGCAGGATTTCATTAATTAGCCACGCGAGGGAAAGGTTCACTAATTGTAGCTTCTTTTACTTTTCACTGTTTGCCATCTTCTAACAATAGTGCAGATACCATCATCAGCCACCCGGGAGTCGTCTAATTGCACAGAAAGGATTTGGCTCTGAATTAACAAGCATGAAACCTGTAAACACGTGGGCTTTATTACTACTTAACAACTACAAGGAACTGAAGTCAACAACCGGACTCAGTTTTAAGGCAGCCTTCTACTGACAAGCAGAAACTGGGGATATCTGCTGGGTCTTACAAAGTTCACTGTTTGAGGTATGTATACATTCCATAGAAAACCAGCAAACATCACCAGTGAATTAAAAAACATCACTACATCCGATTCTGATGAGGAACTTCTCACCAGAATTCCACATCACCAACAGTAAGACATCCAGAAGTTATAATCTCAAAGGCTTAGGATTTGAAGCTATGGTGAGAGTTCTCCACCTACTCCCAAGCACAGCAGTGCAACAGACCGGCCAGGTTCAGCCCTGAGAGAGCTACAAACACAGCTGGGCAGCAGCTTGCTACACCCCGTGCTGGCACGTGCCAAAGGGTGCTGAGCTACTAACAGCATGCTGGACTTTGGCACTGAGTTCTGCTGCACAGCAGTGCCTGTCAACTGCAAGACAGGTCAAGTCTTTTGCAACACTGCATGATTTTATGGATTTTGGTTTGTTTGTTTGTTTTTTGTTCTGGTTTATGAAAGGTTTCTTACAAAGGTTCCAGATACCAGAAGCCTTGAGAACTGAGTTGTTAAAGACACGCTTTCCTAACCTGCAGCAAAACTCCAGTGCTGGCAAGTAAATCAGCAGCAGAACACACACAGAGCAGCACAGTCACATCAGCATTATTCTGGGACAAAAACACTGCCAGTCAAATTCAGACCACGAGTCCATTTACCCCAACAGCCTGTCTCACAAAAAGCCAGAAGCTGATGGAGCAGAGCAAGGTGTTCACTCTGCTCACCACCTCTCAAACCTGAGGCCATTCCTGAGCTCTGCTCCCCTTCCTTTTGCAGGCAGACAAACCAACCAGCTGTGACAACAACAGTTTCATGGATCAGTGTGACAAACATCCTGATTTCATGCTGTATTCCCACTCTTTTTTTTTGTAAACTCTGACATGTTAGGGACATGAAATAGAAAAGGTAACACCTATAAGTTTGCATGTATAGTTTATGGCCTGGACTTACAAAAGCATTGAATGGTTTGGTTGGAAGGGACCTTTAAGGTGATCCAGCTCCAGCCCCCCATACAAAATAAATCTTAGAACTGCCATGAATCACATCTTGATTATTCCAAAATAAAATACAGTTGGACTTGATAATCTTACAGGTGCTTTCCAGCCTATGAGGTTATCCCATGTCACAGAATCATAGAATTACAAGCTTGGAAAGGGTCTACAAGATAATCAAGCCCAACTGTCCCCCTATTACCCTTAATATCCTAGATCAGGCTCATAGAATCACAGAATGGCCAGGGTTGGAAGGGACCTCGAGGATCACGAAGCTCCAACCCCCTGCCACACGCAGGGCCACCAACCTCCATATTTCATAGCAGCCCAGGCTGCCCAGGGCCCCATCCAACCTGGCCTTCAACACCTCCAGGGATGGATGGGGCATCCACAGCCTCTCTGGGCAGCTGTTCCAGCACCTCACCACTCTCACAGTAAAGAACTTCCCCCTGACATTCAACCTCAATCTTCCCCCACGAGCTAAAAAGTTTAAGTAATAACTGCCGTGCAACCTTGAGAAAAACGAACAGAACATGCAAACAACACACGAAGAAACACCTCACCAACAACGACGATTTCAACCACGACAGAAAAACACGGCCAGCAACCTCCTCACCTTCCTAAACCCCACACAATCCTCGTCTACCGCCGGCACATCCGAACGGCCCGACCCGAGCAGCGCGGGTCGGGCGGGGCTCTGAGAGCGCGGCTCCCGCGGGGGCGGCTCCATACGGCTCCGCCCCCCCCAACAACGCGCGGTTCTGCTCCGCTCCCCCGCACGGCCCCCCCATCCCCCCCAGCCCCACACTGCGCTCCGCCGTGCGGAAATGGCGCCGCGCTCCGCAGCCCCACGCGGGTCCGTGCCTGAGGCGCTGCGCTCAGCTCCAGGCAGCGAACGGCGTTCCCTTCTTCTCCCCCCAACCTCCACACGCAGAGCGAGGCCTACACAACCCCTGTGTATAATTACATTTCTGTACGCGATTTTACACCGTAAAGGACGGGTTACACCGACCAGCGGCCCACGCTGCAACCCGCCCGGCCTCCCCGCCCCCTCCGCCTCGCACAGCTCACAGCCCGGCCTCCCCGCCCCGCCTGCCCGCCTCAGGCCCGGCCCCGCGCTCAGGGCCTACACCGACGGCCTACACACAGCTCCGGGCCTTGAGGAAAGGCGGGAACGCGGCCTCGGCGCCCTCAAGGACTCACCTGACAGGCCTGGACATTTTCCCCGGCGCTTCGGGCCCGGCCCGTTGGAAGCCTCCCGTAGCCGAGGGGGAGGGAAAGGAAAAAAAATAAACCCCGCAACGGTCGCTCGGTGCCGCCCGTCCCCTCCCCGCAGCGCTGGGCCCGGAGCCTACAGGCCGACGCCTCTCCGCCCAGCTCAGCCCCCTCAGGGCCGCAGCCTCCGGCCCGCGCCCGCCCGCGGGAGGCTCCGCGCTTCCTGTGTGTGGGCCCGGTGCCGCCGCTCCGCCGATCCCCCCCGCAAAATGGTCGCGTTCGCACCGCTGAGAGGATGCGAGCGGGGGGCGGTGCAGCCTAGCTCGCTGGCACCACCTCCCGCCTGGCTCATTGGTTGCGGGAGGAGGCCGGCCGCCACTCATTGGTCAGTTCGAACCATCACGGCGGGAAGGCCCCGCCCACTCTCCCCGCGGGGAAGGGGGGTGAGGACGCCCCGCATGCTCAAGCTGCTCTGAGTCACAGAGCGGGTTGAAGCGCTGCCGGCAGATTCGCCGCCTGCTCCGCCGCTCCGGGTGCCGCTCCCCCATGCCGCGCCGCCCACTTATCCTCACGCCTCCGCTTCAGATACCGAGCCCGAATTTTCTCCGGGGCGCAAACAGCTGTGGGACCGGCGGGGCGCGATCGGCAGATTCGCCGCGCGGGGCCCGGCGTGCCGTTGGAGAAAAAAGGCGGGGAAGCGCCGCGCCGCCCCGCAGCGGCAACCAGAGCCCCGCAGCGCCGCCCCCGCACGGCCGGGCCTGCGCGGCTCCTCTCGCACTGAGGCCCCGCTACCCAGGAGAGCTCGTCCGCACCGCCCGGCTCTGCAGCTTAAGGCCGCGCGGTTAGAGCAGGGAGCGGCCTTTGTCATGTAAGTGTGCCCGCGGGCCGGGCCTCCCGCCGAGGGCTTTACCGAGAGGGAGCCGCAAACGCAGCCCTGCGGGGCTTCGTGGTTAGAAAAGGAGCTGCTTTTCGTCTGTGGAGAAATGAAACCTAACCCACAAAAGACTGTTGGGGTTGGAAGGGAGGTGTTCGAGGTCCTCACGTCCAAGCCCTGCTAACATGGCAGCTCCTGGGGCAGCTGTAGGCTGTATCACAGAATGGCCATGGTTGGAAGGGACCTCGAGGATCACGAAGCTCCAACCCCCTGCCACACGCAGGGCCACCAACCTCCACATTTCATAGCAGCCCAGGCTGCCCGGGGCCCCATCCAACCTGGCCTTGAACACCTGCAGGGATGGACGGAGCATCACAGCCTCTCTGGGCAGCTGTTCCAGCACCTCACCATTCTCACAGCACAGAACTTCCCCCTGACATCCAACCTCAATCTTCCCTCCCTCAACTTCAAACCATTTCCCCTTGTCCTGCTGTTATCTCCCCCTTCCAAGAGTTGACTCCCCTCCTGTTTGTAGGCTCCCTTTAGGTACTGCAGGCTGCAATGAGGTCACCCCGCAGCCTTCTTTTCTCCATGCTGAACAAGCCCAGCTCCCTCAGCCTGTCCCCATAGGGGAGGTGCTGCAGCCCCCTGATCATCTTTGTGGCTCCTCTGGACCCTCTCCAACAGCTCCCTGTCTTTCTTGTACTGGAGGCTCCAGACCTGGACACAGCACTGCAGGTGGGGCCTCACAAGAGCAGAGCAGAGGGGGACGATCACCTCCCTGTCCCTGCTGGCCACCCCTCTTCTGATGGAAGAGTACCCCTGTACACTGCAGGGACTCATTCCTTAGTGCCATTAAAAAACATTTTTGTGAGATTTGAGATTGTTTGAGAAGACAACATGATCTGCTCAGCTCTCACCTAACGGCAGGAGTCATTGGGATCATTAATTCCTTGCCTGAGCCTCATTTGCCCCCTTTGCAATCATTCCTGATCAGTTCAGATGTGCCCCTTCCTTCCTGCAAGTCAATACTTATGAAAATCAAGCTGATCAGGAAAAGAAAGGGGCATTCAGAGCCAGCCTCCAACTGCACTGTGTGAGCTAATGAGCCATAAGGAGCAAGGCCTATTAACAAACAGCCACATCAAGGAATTCTTTTCTTTCTCCTCTTAGCTGGATATATTGGATTAAAAGCCACTATGACTGCCTCACAGATGCAAAAGTTTTGCATGCTGATGTCCCACTTGTAGGTCAATAACACGACAATAATGAAGACAGCAAGATTATCCAGTGAAAAGGATCTAATCTGTTTTGTTGGCAACACAGGGCAGTCCACACTGGATGCTTTATAACACCTCCTGTTCTTGGCAGCAATATTGTTTCTGTTTTGATCTCATGAAGCCATTTCTTAGGGCTCTTGAGACAGGAAAACAACTACTACACAAGCAGTGTCAAACTCCTTTATTTCAGACCTTTGCTATGCTGCATTCAGTTACGGATTGATAGGGAGAAAAACCTCCCAGCAGTTTCTTCTGTTTGTATAAACATGATAATACTGCAGTGTTACAGTAAGGAGAGCCCTGTCTCTCAAATACTTGTGCATAACTGCAAGCTGTTTAAAAAAACAAAGAACTCAATTTTGACCTCATTATTTCTGATTCTATTCCAGCATAAATTTCTACGTGGATCCACAGATTGCTGTCATTTGAGACCCATGACCACACATTTAAAGAGTTAAGCAATGAGAAACACGTGGAATGGAGTGAAATAGGTATGGTTTGCCCAGAATCACACAGAGTACAATGTCAAAGCATTGCAGAAAGGAGAAACCAAAGGTCATTTTCAAAACAAGTGGAACAGGAGTCATGTATAATCTTCCTTTGGCTTTTCCTTGTTTCTGAGAAGCACTTTAAGGAAAACTCAGAGGTCTGGATATTAAAGAGACACTGGTATGTATCCAGCCAACGTACAGAAGACATGAGATGCTTTCCTGCAGGATGCATGGCATGCTGGCAGGAAAACCATGGCTGTGCAGTTCCTGCTCAGTTCCAAGCTTTTGTGGCTGCAGCAGTTGGTCCTGAGCAGAGATTTCCACTGTGAGCCTCAGCCCCTTCACCTGTATGGGCAGCTCGAACTCGTGGCCTTTGCTCAAATACAGCACACACAGCAATCAGTGAACAACACATGGCTTCATGACAGACCCTTTTAAAAATCAGACCCTTTTCCCCGTATTTCTAAAAACATTTATAGGATTTTTTATTCTCTTCCTGACAGGTTAGGAAGTGAAACACAACAAGACAGTTCAATTTTGCTCCTAACCACTTCTACACATTTCATGTGTTTCTCCAGTTAATCCAATGGCACAGAGAAAGGAATATTTAAGTGCTTATAAGGCTGAATTTGGCAATACTTGCACAGCAGAATCTTACCCCAGATGTCTGGGACACAACATTAGGCCTAGATTTTCGTAGCCCTTACTCACAGCTCATCTTTCTCAAGCTCAGACAACAAAAACTCAGCTTTCCTGTTGGTGCTTAGTGAAGGCAATCAGTTCCTATTCTTACTCTGCAGCCACAGGCTGGTGGATGTGGATGCTCTTAAGGGAAAGTTCTTCTGTCTTAATCTTTTGGCACACTAGGAGATGTAAACTATTGGAGAAGAGAAAACATTACTGAAGAGCACTTCTTTAAATCCTAACCTCAGCACAGGCAGGACGATTCTGTGGCACGGCACGCTGATGAGAAGTGCCCACAGTGCTGCATAACTGCAGCCTTGCAGACTGGCCTTCCTTTGAACCCCTGCAAGATAACTCTGATGTGCTCTTACAGCTTGTTGTTGGCAAGAGCCATTCACAGCTCCACATAACTGGGGGCTGCACGAGGAAAAGCAGGCACAAAAAAGCAAGTGGGGATCATCTCTCTTCATTTCATTTGCCCTGCAAAGTCTTTTCCTTTGCTTGTCCTTTGGAGCACTAAACCAGCAGTGGGCTTCCAGCACCCTGCCTGCCACCAAAGTCACTGCACATAACGGTGCGAAGGCGATTCATCAGCACTTGCAAAGCTCTGTGAGATGGGAGGACACAGGGTGGGCTGAAAGTGAAAAGAACCGTTGTTCTGTCATACAGAGGAGTTTACAACCTATTCCTCATTCAGCTCCCAGTGTCCTAATAAAGCAGCAGCAGAAGAGAACACGTAGGATTGTGCTAGACAAGGAACAGAAGGCAACTGGGCAATGCTTGACAACGCTGTGGTCTGTGCTTTTCAGCTCCACAGTCAGCACACACGTGATTTAGGGCTGTGCTGCATCTCAAATCCACACCTTAGGGACACTGGATGACAATGCTGAGATGCCTTGGTCTCCAGTGACACGCAGGCAGAGGTGTGCAGTTCCAGAGCACAGAATGGTGGGTTTGCTGTAATCCCACCTCAGGAACACAAAGGAGCAGAGAGAACAATTCAACTTCGTGTGCATCAAACAAAGGTCACTGCAGCACTCCGGAATGATGCCTCTGTGGATCAGGTTCAGGTTGTGGGGAATAAAAGGTGCAACAGCATTAAAAATACACGTTCCACGTCCTTCACCCTGTGTGACACAGGCTGTCCTACAGGAGAAGATGAAGAAAAGTGCTCAATGTTTTAAAAGATCAATCTCAGCCGTGTGCTTGGGCACAGACTGCGCCGTGCTGCCACTGCTGCTGCGCTGGAAGAAAGCAAGCTCCTTTTCTCCCTCCTTTCCATTCCTCCCTCCAAGCCATTGCAGCAATGCTTAGTGAGGATGAATGTATGTAAAGAGAGGACAGTTCACTATCTTTGAAAACAAACAAACAAACGAAAGGGGTAGAAAACAGAAGCAGGTGGTGCAGTCAGTGCATCAGCAGCATGCCCAGCCTGGCGGGGACGTCTCTTTGATATTAATATAATCCCCCTTCCAGGAAGCAGCAGAACTTCCATCACCCGTGGATGAGGACATCATCTTCTCAATCAGGACTCTGGAAGACAAACAGATGTAAAATTGTTTGGGTTTTTTTTGCTTCAACAAGCAGCATTGGGCCACAGAGAAGAACAAAACAAAACAACGAAAAACCAAAGCAACAACTCCTGGTTGCATAAAACCCCAGAGCTTTAAGAGAGGATCAGCTTCCTGGGTACAAGCTGCTCGACCGAGGGCAGCAGAACTTCTGACCTCTCAGAATTCAGTTTCCTTTCAGGAGATTCACTTGCATGTTATTGCTGCTATCTGTTACCCACTGACAGCATCTCCCCTTACAGCCAGTGCTGTC